GTTCAGAAGACAATGACTATATTAGACATAATTCTACTATGAGTACTTATGCTTTATCTCGAGATCTAAGCATTCCTCCTATTGCTGGTGTCTGCGCAGCCTTACAGATTAAATCATTTGCAAAATGGAGTAAATCAAACTGTATTATAAAGGATCTTATTAAATCTATTCCCAAAATGCATCATTATTCCTGGACTAAAGAATCAAGAACACTGTATAAAAAAATCAAAAAATATAAATGTGAAAAATATGACGATATTTTAGAACGTTACTGGAAATCAGTTGCCAAATTTCAAGGTATTAAAGGTCAAAATTACGATTGTAATAAGTTCTCAAACAATAAAGCTATAATTATGCTTAGCTTAAAATATCCCCAATTCAACTTAGGATTTTCGTGGATTATACGTTTACGCTGTGGTTATAAATACAATACTACTATTCTTATTAGAATGGGTAGAGTTTCAAAAGATTGTCCAAAGTCTTGCCCCTGTTGTGGAGAAGATAAACAATCTTTTGAACATTGGATTTTTAAATGCGATGCTCTTGCATCTTTTAGATGGAATTCTTTAAATTTCATCGATGATCTCTATGTTTTATTCCTTAGGAAGATTAGAGCGTTTAATCCTCTTTCTTCCTATGACTCTATTTCTAATTTTGAAGATTATATCAATCATTATATATACTTGTTCCTTCTTGGTGGAACTTTAGTTTTAAATGAGCTACATTTCGATAGTGGAGAACAGAGACAATTAAATGAACTACTTTTCAAAGGTTCATCTGAGTCACCTGTTCCAAAAATTGTGGGCTTGGCGGAATTCTTAACAAGTGCAATAACCTATCATTAGTAGTTCGTTTGAGCTATTATTTGATAGGTATTGCAAAATACCAAACTTATCCAAGAGCGTCGACGTCGTACTGATAAGGCATAATGATAATACAGGATCGTCATCTATTGCTACGAAGGATGAATCTCTCCCTAGTAGTTCAATAAATGATGAGTCCGGGGAGAGTTTAGTGGACACCACACTATCTATTTTAAAGATGTTACTTCTAGGTTTTATTTCTTTTTTATTTGATAGGAAGGGAAAAATTCCCGCATAGTACAACTTGCCGAAATACATAGTATTTTCGAGCTTTTTTATTTTTTTTATTTTTTAAATTTTTTATTTTTTTAATTTCAAATGTACTTTTCACCTACATGTATTTTTTAAAATAAAATTTAATAAAGTTTTGGAAGTGTATTCTCTTCCCTGTCTAAAAAAAAAAAAAAAAAAAAAAAAAAAAAAAAAAAAAAAAAAAAAAAAAAACCGTGGAAACCTAACAAATGATATAGTTAATAATAATAATAATAATAGTAATAGTAATAATAGTAATAGTAATAATAGTAATAGTAATAATAGTAATAGTAATAATAGTTTTAGTAATATTAGTAATAGTATTATTAGTAATGTTAGTAATAGTATTGAAAATAATGTGTTTGTTGATTCTAGTGTGTGTGAAAAAGTGTTTAATTTCCTTCTTGGAGGTCGAAGTATTAATAATAGAACAAGGGAATGGAAGGATCTATTTAAGTACCAGATGAAATCAGGTGCTTATTCTGATACTCCATTCTTGGTGGTTACTGCGGCACTTCTTCAATCGATTATACCTATTGCTATTGGCCAGCAGTGGTCTTTGTTTAATAGGTTCAAATCGAATCGTACTACTACTACCAAGAGCGTCAATGCTGAAGAAACAGTAAGACAGGTCAGCAGGGCTAGCGCAACCAATGAAGATCATAATTTTGTATCTTAAAATTATGATTAGCATTGTGAAGTCAAAATTAATTATTATACTACCATATAATAATGCCCTTGTGAAGTCTTACAAATATTAATTAAATGAAACTAGAATATATTATACCATTATTTTATTTTATTTTTTATCTTTTTTTTTTTTTTTTTTTTACAAGTATTTTTTTTTTTTCATATATTTAATTAATAAAGATGAAACAAGTTTGCTGCCATTAAATATTAAAAAAAAAAAAAAAATAAGTCTGAGTCACCTGTTCCAAAAATTGTGGCCTTGGAGGAATTTTTAACAAGAGCGTCGACGTCGTACTGATAAAGCATAATGATAATACAGGATCATCATCTATTTCCATGAAATGTAAAAATTATATCAAAAGGAACTCAACGGTTAGTATTTATGCCTTATCTCGTGATCTTCAAGTATTTCCAATTGCTGGCTTTTGTGCCTCTCTCCATATAAAATGCTTTTGTAAAAGAAGAAATTCAAAATGTATCATTAAAGATAAAGGATCTCATAAACCATATCCCTTCCATGCCACCTTATTCTTGGTCAAAAAAAAAAAAAAAAAAAAAAAAAAAAAAAAAAAAAAAAATCAATAGTACTCTACAAGAAAATTAAGAAAAAGGAATATCACTAAATTCAAAGATGTTATTGAATCATATTGGTCTGATGTTGGTAAATTCCAAGGACTTAAGAGGACTAATTACGATAACTTCAAATTTTATAAATACTAGAAATTTATTCATGCTCAGCCTTGAATACCTTCATTTAAGTTTAGGTTTTAACTGGATCTTAAGATTAAGAGCTTGGTTGTCAATATAAATACCACTATTACAATTAATAGTGGTAGAGTTTCTGATGATTGTCCTTAAATTCTGCCCTTGCTGTGGAAAAGGTAATTAATCTTTTGATGAAGGATTTATAAGACCTGAACCATATGGATTTCGTAATCGAGAAGAATGTATAAGTCTTTACACTACATTACAAATTATATGTCAGAGACAAAAAAAAAAAAAATTTGAAAATAAGGATACTTAACCTTGCTTTCTTTTGAACCTTAAATAAAATTGGTGAGAGAGGGGATAAAACCTTGATGAACACCTTTCTTAATACTTAAATGATGATCGATAATTGTCTATCAACCCTTACACAAGCCTTGGAAGATAAGTATATGTTTACAATAAATTTATAGCACTTCCCCTCTAAAATACCTAAGTGATGAATCTTTATTAATACATTATATATGGACACTGGGTGAGATTATTCGCTTCTTTTAATGTTCATTAATGATATTTCAATAATTGTAATAAATAGAGAATTTCTATTGGTGATAAACGTTGTTGTGTAGGTCTTTTTTTTTTTTTTTTTTTTTTTTTTTATGTAGAAAACATTGTGTTATGTGCTTCAACTAGATTCTCTCATTTTTCGAAATTGTTAAAGTTTGCCAGTAAGTGGGCTAAAAATAATGAAATCCAATTTAGTATTAATAAATGTGCCAGTTTAGTAAGTTACGAGGGAAAGTTTCAAAATTTCTTATTTATAATAGTAACCCAACCTTTTATCTTTCAAGTCTAGAGTTTATCTAAAAACGAAATTACTATATCTACTTAGGTGTACCTTTCCTCAAATGATTTAGAATTGAAACCGATCTTAAAACTAATGAAAAGTCTCTTTGGAAATCTTTAAAATTGTAAAAAAAAAAAAAAAAAAAATCATTAAAATCTTTTAGAAACTATTTTGTTAATTAATTACTATTAATTATTATACTAATTTATCTAGTTTTAAAATATTATAAATTATTATTAATTTTTAATTCTGCATGATTTAATTACTAATTTTTTTTTTTTTTTTTATAATGATTAATAATATAAAGATCTAGGTTAATTATCCATATAAACTATTAATTTATTATTTAAGGCCCATTTAAATAATTAATTTTATATATATGTATATTTAAAAAATTTTAAAGTCTAATATCTCGCGTTCTAATAATCCAAACGAAGTTGATATTAATATATATAATAAATCTCGAGTGTAATTTTTCTAATGAACATAATATTGGTAGGAATTCTCATTGTAATATTTCCATTATTTGTAGAGTTGTCGACTTTTTTTTTTTCTTTTGTTCAATTTAGTTTTATTAATTTCTAAAGGGTTAAATTAAATTAAATTAAATTAATAATTTTATTAAAATAGTCCAAACCCTTTTATTTTTAAATATTTAAATATTGCAAAGTATTTATTTTTATAATAAAAATTGAATATTAAAATGCAATTGTCAATAGCCAAATTTAATTTTAATTGATTTAATCGTGAATTTCAATTCTATATCCACTAATATTTGTGATGAACTCAGAAAATATAATTATTTTTTTAAAAATAATTATTGATTATTAACATTTTTCTGATACAGGATATTGAAAATATTCCATATCGAGTTTTTTATTTATTTGGTTGTTTTTCTAAGAAATTATGACACAATAATTATATTTCTAATAAATTATAAGAAAATAATTTACAATAATAATGTTTTATAATGATATTTTATCCTTTTTTTTTATTTTTTTCTATTTTTATTATTTTTATATATAAAAATATTTATTATTACATTCTCATAATTTTATATAATTGCTAAAAATAATTATTTAATATTATATATATATATATATATATATATATTTTAAACATTACAATATTTTTATTAAACATATCTCTAAAACCATTAATTTCCTAATAATTTTACTTAAAAAAAAAAAAAAAAATTTATAATTAAATAATACATAACTATTAATACTTAAAAATGTATTTCCTAAATAAAATTTAATTATCAATATTTAAAGTATAATTCCTAAAAATATATAATTCTCAAAAATAATATTTTAAAATATAATTAAACTATATAATTCTCAAAAATAATAATTTAAAATATAAAATAAAACCTATTAATAATAATAATGATGATGAATTAATTTATTATCATAATAATACAATCATTATATACTATTAATTTAACTATTTTAATCATGATAAAAAAGAATTAAACCAAACTTTTTAAAAAAAAAAAAATAAAAAAATAAAAATTATTTCTTTAATATTATTATAACTAATAATATTTATTTAATAACATTATTTCTAATCTAAAATTTTCTACCTAAACTTTTTACCTAAATATTATTTTTCATAGTGGTACAAAAACTTCAACCAAAGGAGCCGGGATGGCCGAGTTGGTCTAAGGCGCCGCACTCAAGATGCGGTTTCGAAAGAAGCGCGAGTTCGAATCTCGCTTCCGGCAAATGTATTTTTTTTTAATTAAAACTATATTACTTTTTTTTTTTTTTATTTTTATTTTTTTATTTGAGTTTATTTTTATTTGAATTTATTTTTATTTGAATTTATTTTTATTTGAATTTATTTTTATTTGAATTTATTTTTATTTGAATTTATTTTTATTTGAATTTATTTTTATTTGAATTTATTTTTATTTTTTCATTTGTATTTTTTTATTTTATTTTTTTTTTTTTTTATTTGTATTTTTTTTTTTTTTTTTTTTTTTCGCATTACTTAATAAAATTTTTTTTAAAATAGTAGTAGTATTATGAACTAAATTATTGACTAAATTGAGTGCTTCATTTTAATTTTTATTTTTATTTTTATTTTTATTTTTATTTTTATTTTTATTTTTATTTTTATTTTTATTTTTATTTTTATTTTTATTTTTATTTTTATTTTTATTTTTATTTTTATTTTTATTTTTATTTTTATTTTTATTTTTATTTTTATTTTTATTTTTATTTTTATTTTTATTTTTATTTTTATTTTTATTTTTATTTTTATTTTTATTTTTATTTTTATTTTTATTTTTATTTTTATTTTTATTTTTATTTTTATTTTTATTTTTATTTTTATTTTTATTTTTATTTTTATTTTTATTTTTTAGTTTATTTAAAGAAAAAATATAAATATATAATGAATGAATGAATGAATAAATATATATATATATAAAAAATAATAAATAAAGTTAAAAAAAGTTCGTAATAATTATGGCTATGGAAAAATAAAAAAAAAAAAACACTCAATTAATAAAAAAAAAAAAAAAAAAAAAAAAAAAAGCAGCTTTTGTGAGTTAACCTTTTAAAACATGAAATGAAAATATTATTTAATATAATAATTAAAAAAGTACGTTAGAAGCCATAGCCTCTAACTTTTCCCATTCCTCGATAATAACACCACGTCCATTATTGTGAGTAATAATTTCAGTATTAGTGTTTTATCAAACAAATTTGTATCCAATCTTTCACTGATAGGTGAAAATTCATGTCTAATCATTTTGATATCGACGCTCTTAGTAACGGTAGATTCAACGGAATACCAATTTCATCATCAATCACTTATTTTTAAGCCTTTCTCAATCCTATGTTTCATGATTTATTATTATTATTATTTTTTTTTTTTTAACGGCAGCAAACTTGTTTCATCTTTATTAATTAAATATTTGATAAAATACATGTAATAAAATAATAAAAAAAAGATAAACAAAATAAACAAAAAATAAAACACGAAATAAAATAAAATAATGGTATAATATATTCTAGTTTCATTTAATTAATATTTGTAAGACTTCACAAGGGCATTACTATACTGAAGTATAATAATTAATTTTGACTTCACAATGTTAATCATAATTTTAAGATACGAAATTATGATCTTCATTGGTTGCGCTAGCCCTGCTGGCCTGTCTTACTGTTTTTTCAGCATTGACGCTCTTGGTAGTAGCAGTACGAATAATAATTATAAAAGTACATTAGAAGCCATAGCCTCTAACTTTTCCCATATATCCGATCTTTCATTGGGAGGTGAAAATTCATGTCTAATCATTTTGATATCGACGCTCTTAGTAACGGTAGATTCAACGGAATACCAATTTCATCATCAATCACTTATTTTTAAACCTTTCTCAATCCTATGCTTCATGATTTATTATTATTATTATTATTATTATTATTATTATTATTATTATTATTATTATTATTATTATTATTATTATTATTATTATTATTATTATTATTATTATTATTATTATTATTATTATTATTATTATTATTATTATTATTATTATTATTATTATTATTATTATTATTATTATTATTATTATTATTATTATTATTATTATTATTATTATTATTATTATTATTTTCTCTAGTCTCCTTTTTCCTTTTTTTTTTTTTTTTTTTTTTTTTTTTTTTTAGACTAGGAATAAACTTTATTTAATAATATTTTTTTTTTTAAAAAAATACATGAAGTTTAAATACATGAAATTTTTTTTATATTAATATTAAAAAACTACGTTATGAGATTCGAGGACGAAAAGGCCTCTAACTCTTCCCATTCATCGAAGATAACTCCATGTGGATGAAAATTATCATTCGAATCTGTATCAGAATTTCTTCTTTGCCTTATCGTTACGACGTCGACGCTCTTTTTTTTTTTTTTTTTTTTTTTTTTTTTTTAGACAGGGAAGAGAATACACTTCCAAAACTTTATTAATTTTATTTTAAAAAATACATGTAGATGAAAAGTACATTTGAAATTAAAAATAAAAAAATTAAAAAATAAAAAAAAAATAAAAAAGCTCGAAAATACTATGTATTTCGGCAAGTTGTACTATGCGGGAATTTTTCCCTTCCTAACAAATAAAAAAGAAATAAAACCTAGAAGTAACATCTTTAATATAGATAGTGTGGTGTCCACTAAACTCTCCCCGGATTCATCATTTATTGAACTACTAGGGCAAGATTCATCCTTCGTAGAAATAGATGACGATCCTGTATTATCATTATGCCTTATCAGTACGACGTCGACGCTCTTGGATAAGTTTGGTATTTTGCAATACCTATCAAATAATAGCTCAAACGAACTACTAATGATAGGTATTGCACTTGTTAAGAATTCCGCCAAGCCCACAATTTTTGGAACAGGTGACTCAGATGAACCTTTGAAAAGTAGTTCATTTAATTGTCTCTGTTCCCCACTATCCATTCATCGAAGATAACTCCATGTGGATGAAAATTATCATTCGAATCTGTATCAGAATTTCTTCTTTGCCTTATCGTTACGACGTCGACGCTCTTGACAACGGTAGGTCTAACACTATACAAATCGATCATGGTGTAGAAATCACCAATCACAATAGGCATAACGTTAGTAAGGAATTCCGTAAGCCCCGTCTCCTTTTTCCTAAAAGTTCAGATTTTTTTTTAACCTCTTTGCTAGCTGGAATATCACATCATAACTCTTTTCTCTATTTTTAGACTTTAAGAAAACTTTAATTTATAATAATAATAATAAAAATTACACGATCTTAATGAAAAATAACAAATAAAATACATGAAATAAAATATTATAAAATAATACTTTAATAATATAAATATATTACAATAATATTAAACATTTTTCAATTAATACACTTTAAAAATAAAACAATTAAGAAAACAATTTTTGACTTTTTTTTGGTTTGATTTTTTTTAATTTTTTATTATTTTTTTTTAATGATTAGATATATTACATCTTTTTTTTTGTTAAAATTCACCTCAAATGTACAATTGAAAGCAACTTTATTTACTTTCTATTATAACAAAGTAAATCTTAATTTTTTTTAAATTATTTGCATTGTTACTTAATTTTATAAAATTTTCTTTCAAAAATTAGCTATATTTACATACTTAATTTTTTTTCGATAATTATTTTTTTAACTTCTAATTATTATAAATCAAAATATTTTTTTATTTACTTTAATCTATAAAAACTATAAAGTATTAATTATTTTCTTAAAAAAAAAAAAAGAATAGTATTTATTTACTACAAAATTTTTTTTTCTTCACAAAAAAAATTCAAACTCCCTAAAGTATTCTCAATAATATTAATTATTGATATTAAATTAGATTATTTTAAATTCTTTTAGTTTTTTTTTCATTGTTCCTACTTTCATTTTTTTTTTCATCCCTTTTTTTTAAAAAATTAAAAAAGAAAATGAAATAAAATAAAAGCAAGACTATCTCTTATATATTTAAAATTTTTTTTTCGTATTTTTTTTAGTTATTTTTTATTTTTTTCGTTTTCAAAAATTTTTAGTTCCTTCACATTTAAGCACCTAAGGTACCATCCATAGTAATAATTCCACCCTTGTCATCATACTTAAGTTCTCTGAACTTAACGTTACGCTTGTGGTTAACACCCTTAGAAATTTCACAGTCGTGGTAGAATAACCACCACTTTCCGTGGTATTCAAGAATAGAGTGGTGAGAAGTCCAACCAAGAACTGGAGTTAAGATCTTACCACCGTAGGTGTATGGACCGTAAACGTTCTTACTGGTAGACCAACATAAGAAGTGAGTATCACCAGTAGAGTAGGTGAAGTAGTAAGTGTCTCCCTTCTTGTAGAGCCATGGATCTTCGAAGTAACGTCTGTCGTGATCCTTACCGGCAAGTGGCTTACCGTTTTCATCTAAAATGACAATATCACGTGGAGCTTCAGCAAGAGTCTTCATATCTGGGTTCATCTTGGCAATCTTAGCACAGACAGCTGGAGTTTCACCAGTTGGTTCTTCGTTCTTTTCATCGTAAACATTGTTACGGTATTTGTCGAGTTGACCACCCCAAATACCACCGAAGGTAAGGTAGTAGTTCTTGTCAGTATCTGGGAAGATACATGGATCAATACTGTAAGTACCTTGAATGTAGTTTGGTTCTGGCTTGAATGGACCTCCTGGCTTATCACCAATAGCAACACCAATACGGAAGAAACCTTCCTTATCACGAGCTGGATAGAAGAAGTAGTACTTGCCATCCTTTTCAGCACAATCTGGAGCCCAGAGTTGCTTGGAAACCCATGGAATATCGGCAATATCTAAAACCTTTCCACAGTCACGTGGAAGAGTGTTTTCATCGTCCATTTCATAGACGTGGTAATCCTTCATATCATATTGATCACCGTTATCGTTATCGATAGTTTCGATATCACGATCGTGAGATGGGTAAATGTAAATTTTACCGTTGAAAACGTGAGCAGATGGATCAGCGGTGTAAGTGTCAGTAACTAAAGGAATCTTTTGAATACTAGCCATTTTAAATATATTTAGATATAGTTTAAAAAAAAAAAAAATTCAAAGAAGAAAAATATCTTCTTTTATATAAAAAAAAAAAAAATTGCCAATTCAATTATATTATAAATAAATTATTATATTTTATTGTAGTATTCGAAAAAAAGAAAAAAAAAAGTTAATAATACCTCAATTT